AGATTTTTATTAGACTTTGATAAATAATGTAATATCAGAGGGGGTTTTGTGGAGAAACTAGTATTTTCATAGTTGTAATCATGAGTCAATTGATGGTGGTCTAGCTTCAATTGACTCATAATTTCAACTATGAAAATAATGTAATAGTCATTTGTTTTCAACTTCCAGGCTTCGTCATAGTATGACACATTGTAATGTATTTTCTAAGAACATCAAGAAAATAAACGGAAATTGTAGTGCTTTTCATACATTAAAAAACACAAAATAACAATCATGGTTAGCAGAGATGGATAGTGGCTAGCAGTGGAATCCAGGACGCGCGTTTCGTCCTACTTGGGACTCGTCAGCTGGATGTACCTGCATCTCAGAGTTGATGTTCATTCTAGGAATTGAACCCAGTACTCTCGCTTCAAACGCCATCGTGTTATCCACTCGGCCACTGAGTTCTGATAGCCACTTGCTTGTGCGATCTCTGTGCGATCTCTGCTAACCATGCTTGTGAATTAAGGTATATCGAGGCAATACGCACAGTATGCACATATGCCAATTAGAGACTGACCAGTTGCAGTCCTAACAAATCGATGGGAGGATTCAAACAAACAATACTAAGTTGAATTTACAAAATAACATTATTTTTATATTATAGTGATCGTGCTTTATTTCATTCCAGTCTTATGTTCATCCACGTTAAGTTAATAAGTTAATTCAAAGTTGATATTTACGTTGAAACGAAAAACTGTGTTGTTCCCTGTAAATGACATCTTTATTTGTGTATCACCAAGTTCTATTACCATTATGTAGAACATAGAACAATGAACGTTATCCTCTCGATCAGTTATTCTGACCAAAGCAGTTGAATGAATGCGTGGATTGTCTCAAAGTTATCAAACTGCGCGATACGTCATATCATTGTCAAGAAACTAATGTGGTAACAGTGTTCTAAAGTTCTAAGCAACCTAACGAAATATACAACTTTGTAAGTAGGCAATGAGAAATCGACGAAGAAATAATACCAATATATGTTGTAGACCTATTTATACATTTTTAAACTTGTTTATCAAACTAATTTCTACATAAAGTAGATTCAGCTAATGTTTTCCAGAATGAAAGTGAATGTCCTGCCATGAAATCATTTGGCTCACAGAACTCAACAATGCTCAAGGAACGAAACTGCATGTTTTTTAATTACGTTCTAAGCAAATGATCGAATTAATAGAATTTTAGCCACCTGACTAGAATAAAAGCCAGGGCACTAAGTAATTACTACTTGTGACTGATGGGTTTGACAATAAATATTTGACAAACGTTGATACAGTTTAAAAACAATAATCTATATTCAGTCGGATGAAAACAGAGTTGACTGAATATGGTTGTTTCTAATAAAATATGATGTTTCGCTGAACAAATCTGTTCCAAATCAAAAATGGCTGTAAATGACTCTACATATGAGGTCACAGAAATTCTTTATACATTAAATGAAAATAAGAGAAATGTAACTTGACAGGCTATCGGGATAATTTCACATACATCAAAAACGTTCATTGTGAACTGAAAGGAAAATAAAGCATAAACTATGACAAAGATTTCAATACAACTTCACACCCCTGAATATAAATTCTAATGTAAACGAGTCGAAACAGTCTAAATTGTCTTAGTTGAGTTTAAACATTAACGTATTTTTTTAATTCAATGATAAAAATGTACTAAGACAAAACACTGTGCCCATAAATTTCTGAATATAATTTGTTTGAGAAAAGTATGTGGATTAAAATAACGATTACAATCGTGATCAAAAGAAATCCAATAGCATAAACAATTAGAAACAATTTAATGTTGGTTAATATACATTTTTGAATTGAATTACCAATTATTATACAAATGAAAAACCACGACAGAGCGACAAAGCACGCTGAAACGAGAAATTCAATTCTCAAACATATGAATGGAAGAACTACCATTGTTGAAGTGAATACAGACCGAGAAAATAGAAGAAAGTCATAGTTTCAGTAAAAACTTTAAGTTTGAACTGACTCCCTGAAATGTAAGGTGCTCCTATCAAATAATGAACGATGTTCTTTAGTCAAAAAAGCAATAAACCAGTTCAGTCTACACCATAGTTGAGCAATAAAGCTCAACGTTAATATTTATGTAAATAATGTAAAAAATTAAACAACTTATTGTCTGTCCACAACGATTATTCTTCCCAATAAAAATGGGACCCGTTTCTCTTATAACGCGGTGGAACTAAAGTAATCGACTCACACAGAAATAATCAAGGAATAGCAGTCCAACATTGCAGTAACGAAAATGGACTGTTAAGTCAAACTAAAGTGAGACGGTTATTAAAATCCCTAATTGTATCAAAGATTTGATGAACTTTAGATTCTATAAATAACAAATAATATAAACCTCAAGAAATAAAAAGATGAACTTAATATACGTACATTCAAAGAGCAATGAAGGGAAATTTCCATGCAAAGGGAAAACGGGAAAGTAGCCACAAAGAATATATGTACTAGAGGGTTTCGACACACATATCAGTGAATACACAAAAAAGTTAATACATCAAGAAAGCTCGGAATATATATTGAGTCTCTGTGAATATACTGGGTTAAATTGAAGAGAGTAAAAAAGAAGTTATCAGTGAATAACAGAGGAACAAACGTACAACAAACTGATGACGAAGAAAATCAGGGCTGACACGTGGAAATATTTGTAAAAACTGGAAACTATACTAAAACAGCTAACTCCGCCTGTAGCTCCTCTGGGGGTTACTGCCGGTCCCAAGCCCGGGTAAAGGAGGACGGTTGGGCATGGATTTAGCGACCCCATCCCGTAGAAAATTAACTCGCTAAAAAAACGCTAACCAGAAAAAAATCATTCATAGTAAAACAGCTAATAGAGGAGGCCATACATTGAAGAACTGTACAATACAGCAAGATGTCAAGGAAACTTAGTGAGCCAGTGCAATCAGTTATGAACAAAAACACATACAAGCAACTGCAAATATACTCCACGTCCAGTTCATAAAGAATTAGCGGGAATTGTAAGCTGACCGATAAGGAGACTCTGTCAAGATACTGGAGGGATCATAGTAAGTGTGAGAACTACAACGGCATCACACTACTGTTATTACCAGGCAAAAATTTCTATAGATTGTTACTGAGCCGATTCAAAACTCAATAGACGTCTAACGTCAAGACTATTAGACTGGCTTTTGTAAGGACAAATCATTCACTGACCGAGTCGTGACACCACGGATCAATGTTGAAGAATTGTGATTGCAGATAAATTTTATTTATAATGAGGAAGCATTTGACTATTATGTCAATAACAGGGACAATTACGAAGCGCAATGAAAATGATCAAATTTCGAATGATACTCGAAAGGGGCACTGTATGATCTATTGCTGTGGGTTATTATTTAGTACAATTACTTTGAATATGTCATAATTGACTTGGTGAATAAAGGAATTTAAACCATTTTCAAAATGATTCATTGTTATTATGGAAACAGGCTTTTGATTACACGTTGTGTCTGTGTAGCTTAACTGAATCAGACAGTTGACGTTCGTAACAGTGTACCATCTTACTTCACTGAGGACGTACATTTTCTCAGTTTATTAAATACATAAGCAATAGTGACGTTATTAGTCTCAACAACATTCAGACTAACATATGTTGTCAATGTTGTCATTTTCATATTTTATTTTATTCACTGACATGATTTGTTGGGGGTTTTAACCAGTTACTATTTATTAACTCAATAGCAAAGTCTACTAGAGAGATTCAGTTCTTTTGATGTAAAAAGGGAAATTTCCTGTAGCATTTTATTGTGGATTTCATTCACTCGCTCTGTGTTTACTTTTCATGCCAAGAATACTAATTTTACAGGAAAATGCATATTAGTGTTTGGAAAAGCAATTTCATGTTATATTTGAAAGAGTCGGATATCAGTTCTTCTATTTTAAATTCTTTATTTAATTTGACACAATAAACGCTAGTTGATTTTTAGATTGTGTACACTTTACGATGACCGAATACCACTCGAAGATAGTGAATAATTAACTGAAATATTCCTCCATAGTTTTTATAAGAACAATTTGCAGGTACAATACCCTTAAATGAACGACGGGTATATACATCATTATTAATTTTTGTATAATGGATCATTTTGTTTTGACATTGTACATATTTGTTCTACAAAATCATTCAGCGTTTTACTTTATGATATTAGGTACAGTGACAGAAAATTGTACAAACACATGACAGATATGACTTGTTCTCATCACATACACATAATAATTAGTTTATAATGATTCCCGCTACAATAAGCTATTTCTTATGATTTGTATTTCATTTATTTAGATCGCTAAGTTATAAGTTAGTTAAGTTGATTTCTTATAAAAAATAGCGAAAAGATGAAAGGCATTATTTGTATGACACACTGAAATGGTTTTATATATGCCAACTGATTATAAGCTAAGAATATTTAGTGAGTTTGTTATGTTTAAATTGTTAGGGGATTAATTTAATTAATATTCACCATGATGACTAGTCGAACAAATTTCCAGAATTAAGCATTTCAATTTCAAGGGGTCAACCAATTCTACTTATTCATATACGAATATGTTAAACTTTAGCGATACACAAATGCTATTAAATTCATTTTTGTATTTGTTGTTTTAATATTCTCGTTAGTGTTTAGGACTGCAATTGATCACTCTCTTATTAGCATATGTGTACTTTGTGCAGATATTCTCGATATTCTCTTCAGTCACAAGCACTGTAGGGATAGATAATTTAAACATTTATCATGATTATAAGCCGAGTTAATGGTGGCTAACAGTGGAACATAGGACGTGCGTTTCATCCTATTTAGGGCTCGTCAGCCGGATGAACCTGTATCCCAGAGTTGATTTTCACACTAGGACTCGAATCCAATGCCACTTACTTTAAACGGATATTTATAGTTTTTATTGAAAATTTAATCATCGTTACAATCATCCAATCCGAATGAAGAAGTTTTTAGCATTTGTCTAATCAAAACTCTGCACAGTGAGATTCTGGAATGTTCTTCCAAACGATGATTGGATGGAATGTCTTCGGCTATTTTAGAGCTTCTGAAAGCATCCTTGAGTTCACCTGAAACCATCCGCATACAATAAAATCTTTGAAACTTATATTTCAGGAATCCATATAGTTGAGATAGTCTAGGGAAGTATATTTTTAATTTTTAAGGGTGAAAATCTGAAAAATAGAGGAGAAAGATTCAGTAGTTCCGTTCAATCTTGTAATGTGATTCCAAGTCATGTATTCAAAGCCTACCTCCATGTTTATTATAGCATCCATCATGTATTTATATTAGTTTACAAGGTAATTTTTGAGGTAAGGTGACGCTTCCTGCAAATGACTATTATGTTTGTAGATTTAATGGTTTGAGCAGATCAGGTATTTGAGAAAAAACGGTCTACATTCACTAAGTACATATATGTTGGAACCCCAGGTTTATTTATATTATATACGTAACGAAAGTCAGGTCAATAGATGTAACTCATTTAATTATCTGTGAATATTACCTATACTCAGTGAGTTATTAGAATGATGAAACATTAGAATGGTCGATAAACCCCTGAACGTGATCAGATGATACACTCACTCAGCATCTTCAACAGATGAGTTGTTACATAACTTCACCCATAAAATATGAATAAATAAACTGTTATCACTGAAATTGAATCAGTGTAAAAATAAAATGCGACAGTACTTCAAAAGTACATACATATGTACATGTATACCTTTTGAATGTATTCAATTGGTTGATTTCGATGTTATTTGTACAACCAATTAATGATGGCGAATAAACAATCGATTTACTAAGGAATTATTCCATATCAAACTTTGAACTATGATCAATAAAACACGAGTCCAGTCAACAGCTTGAGTGAATTTCAATAACGCTTGTCATATAAAAGGTAACGTATCACCAGAATAAACATGTTTTCACTGATATTATGTTACATGAAATCGCAGTTTTTAATAATCTGGTAATTAAACGAGATAACTAATTACGTTTACATGTACAGCTATTAGGGTGTCTACCATGTTGCCATTAAGTCGCATAGTAAAATCTAAATAATGTTTCTAATATTATAATAGCAATTTATTAGATTTCAACACTTCAAATGATACTTGGCTGCTGTTACTGGTTTGTGTTTTATTGAGTGTATTGTTTGTGAAGTATTGTAAATTTTGAACGATCGTTAACCAATCCATCATCATTATAGTGTACAATAACAATGCAGCTAAACAGTAATCATCACCAGCAATTCGAAAGTCATGTCTACCAAATGTTGCCTGTCCTACAATCAGCATTAACTGGAAGAAAACGGAAGACGTACTTTGTTATCTCATTGTTTCGTGTCAACATATAAGTATACAAAATATTTCTTCCCTTAACATGCTTCTTTGATAAAATAATGTCTGGAATGAAATATTTCAGATCATCCCGCAAGAAAAGAATGACTGAACGGTCTACCTGGTACAAAGTGCAACAGACATCTGTACACTACTGGTTTGAGTTATCTCGTAACATGTTCATTAAAGTCACTTGTACTACTACAGTCTGTCATTGATTCACTATCGTAGAGATACGGTTCAATTCAGTTTTGAGTTACATGAAGATATTTTCCTTCTGAGACTGGTTGAATAATATTTCTTTGATAGAAAAATCATTTTATTGAATTTCAGAAATGTCGCTCTATCATTCAGGTATAATTATTACAGAGTGATTTACATGATTTCGGTAACTCAAATATCTAAATCTCACGACTGAGACGAGATGAAATTAACAATATGTGTATCACAATGCCTTAAAGATAACAACAGTGACGAGAATGAAATATTGTGTACGTTAAATATACGGTTCGAAAATAAAATATATCATTGTTATTAAACTGCCAAATGTACGAACTTACATGAATCCAAGCCAGTGTGACTGCTTCGAATAAATTTCACTTATATACTAGGCGATTATTTGTCACATTTATTGTCTGAACCGAAAAAATGTCGGTATATGAAGATTCTTGAACAAGACTCTTAGCTTTCATAGAACTAATTGCCGAAACGCAATGTTACACAGTCCTTACTTTTACCATCTGTAAACACCTGGTCAGGGATCTTTGCACTAACTGAAGGTACACGCTTGTAGTTAGGTGATGATAAATCAATGAAATATGGTGGAATCATTGTATTCTAAAAATAATGTTCTTCCTTAAGTTAAACTTGAGTAAGAAAGTAACTGCATGAATTTTTAATTGTATTTCTTTTAGAGAAACTGATTAAAAAATTCCTTAATTACCGACTACAATCTAAATCAATCTACGTTAGAATAAGTGAAGAGTCCAATGTATGATGAACTTCACGATTGCGATATCGGACAACTTTTATTTGATGTTTTCCGTAAATATACTATCTAAACAAACATCTCTATTCAATCGGATCAACTGGTATTGGACATACACTTGTCCATATTATTAAATCATGCCACTTCATATATTGAAGCTTTTTAAAAGGATCTGCTTTATGTCAGGCCCAAAAGTCTTTTATTATATGAGAGTTCAGATTAGCGTGAAACGCTTGTCTTTCAAATAAATTGGGCAACATTCAATATCTTACATATCATACTTCAGTCGACTTTCATTAGCTGAAGTTCCTATGTTCTATTACCGGTGGGGTCAATGATGAGCGTAGCTGAAGCGTCCTTCATTGTGTAAATGCCTTTTGCTTTCTTCATTTATCTAACTTAGCTCAATTAGTAATGTGAATTTTTAAAAAAATAATGTTTCTATAATTTACAAAATGGACTACAGAAAAACATCTATGTAATAAAAGTTTGTATTATGAAAAACTTGGAAGTACACCATAAAATTGTACAAAAATAAAGATATTTTGAATCCAACTTACTGTGATTAAAAAAATAGCTGAACATACAGCACAGATGATCATTACCATCTGAAAAGAACGTTATGTGGATAATATGATAGAACACTTGGTAACTATGATGTATACACATCTTGTTTGAGTATTGTGTAGATATGTCGATGTGATATTACTTTTCCGAAATTCTAATTTGAGGGTCAGTTAATGAAAATATTCTATATCATCAAAGTTGGGTTTTCTTAAATCAGTCCATTTAAAACGAAATGGTAAGCTCTGTATAAGTGAGCATATGAAATCTTCGTACCTAATGTATATGTCACGAATTAAGCACTGAGATTCGCGTTATTGTTTATATATGAAATATTTTGAAAACTATTACCGAAAATTTTTAGAAAAAATTAGATTTTCTAAACATACCGTTAGTCTAAAATATTGTGATACAAATACCGCAACTATGATAGCAATAAACTCTGTGCTGCTAATCACGAGAAACCATAAATTTGTGTATAATAAACGTATTCGAATAGATGCTCCTAATAATGTAAATGCTATAAACAACAACAAAGTAACTGCCCATGCCATAATTTTCCATTCAATTCCCAAACTTGTAAATGGAAGAGCAACTGTCAGTGAAGTAAACATCGTCTAAAACGTAGAAGGTCAAGAGTTGAATATATTTAATAATAATTGAAATCAACCGTTTGTACAGTTTCATAATTCTTTTTAATATTTTTAGACTTCCTTAGAACCATATGGTTTTTATAATAATAAAATCAATCTATAGATATTCAAACGAACTATGAAAGTATGTTTAAGTAAACTATTCAGTAGATTCATCCGATATTCGATCTTTAAAAGTGTAAATAATGTCATCATTATTAAACTCTCAACATCGAGATCTAAGACAAATTTACTAAGTAAGAGCTAAACTGAGCCTGTTTTAACAGGATTAAAATGTGTATGTTAAGGAATCTAAGTGCATTTTGTTCTGATTTGTATTTATAGAATGTAGCGTAACCAGAAAGTGTAGGAATTTCAAAGACCTTTACTCGTCCTAGAAAATTCACATTTACCTAAAAAGGTGATGTAGATATGAATGTATTTCATTAATAGACTATATAATTAAGCGGACGAGGAACAGTTTGTTAAAAGTAAGAACTACACATCATAGACTTACATATAACATCAAAAGGACAATATTTACTGGACACTTTCTTCGCACTGTTGTTGAAACCAAAAGAAACACTAATATCCCATCATTTATTATTCTGAAACGAATAATCAAAATACATCATTAACTGAACGTGGTACATTTTGATTAAGCTTTAAGGTGTTTCATGTACTTAAACTTCATTTGCGAGTTGAAAAAATATAACATCAACTGAAATCATTTACTATCATTCACATCTCAGTTTCAAGACAATCTTCAGTGGTAACCACAAATAACAAACATAAACCAATATTTTTACTCATTAATGATATTGAGAGTGTTTACCTTATTCACAGAGTCATGTTTCAAATAACTGAAAAATATTAGTTTGTCTTTATGTTTGCGTAATGCATTAAGGGATATTACACACGACAGGAGTGGCGAATAAATAATATTGTTAGTTTAAAGCATTTACTATAGAAAATACACTTACGCCAGCACCGTCTCAACAGGTATAAGAACTAAGCTTATGTCCAGTTTACCATTTATTCTGTCAATAGATGATGAATCGAACTTCATGTATTGGATTACCGTCAAACCAAGTGTTATTCCAATTGATAGGACGATTTGTATTCCAAGAAGAACCAGGACCTGAAATATTTCGATTTCTGGTGCTTTGCTCTCACTTGTTTCCAATATCTTGGATCGAATGGAAAAATTTCCTTTTTCAATAGCTTACGACTTATTTTATTCTCTGCGTTGAGCATAAGTTGTGAAAAATATGCAAATCCAGATAAACGACTTATTACTGTTACCTCGTTTTGTTCATCTATTATAATATCTGTTAAAATATTTTAGTTTTAGAAAGATATTTATTGTTCAAATACTATTAGTTTTCATTTAATATGTTATGAATATGAAACACTACTCTTTTCACAATAATTTGAGAAAACAAAATAAATGACAGAGTGAAATGAAATGTAACAGTTAGTAAAATTATTTTATGATGATACAGGAAATCAGGTAAGTGAACATCACCTTAAGTTGTTTGTAAACGGTTAGACAAATACATAAACATATCATATTTGGTCGAGAGTTATTATGTATTAGGTAAAATGAAATCAATTCAAGTAATTTAACATATACTTTTACCATTTCTGATCTTCGTTAAATTTAGTCTCCTACCTGTAGCAGAGTCTATATGAGTTTGGATATGCAATCTTAGTCTATTTGTTCTGATGAAATTTATTTCATGTCTGTCCCCTTCTTGTCAGGATAAGGCTTGACAAATGGTTTTATCAATTATGGTTGTTACTATCATATGCCTTACCCTTTCGTTTTTGTTTTGCGATTCTTCGCTATCTTAATATTTGAATTCTTCTTAGTACGTAATTTTAATCATTTTTAATTAACATTATTTCAATGTCCATTTTTTCAAGTCTCTGACCTAGTTCCTATGCTGAGAAACCAAATTAAGCTCATTTTATTTGTAACACTACTAAAACACTTGTCATTTCACTATTTATTTGTACTTTATACTTATTATGCTTAGTTATATAATCTGATTAATTTTCATCATTGACTTATTAACCGCCTTAATTTTCTTAATATTTTTTCTTTAAGCACATGAATATTACTGTAAATTAGAGTAAATACTGATGATTTGATTAGTAACAGTATTATTAACAAATATGAGTTATCCGGAAATTGTAGTTAACAGAACGTTGTAGAACAATAATTCAGTACAAGATTCGATGTCACAAAACATATGTAATAAGGAGTTGTTAATTGTTAAGGAATGCTTCTTTTGTGTAATGATAAAAATAATAACATTATTTCATACCAAAATACTTAGGGGAAATATACTTACTTGGAAGTGGGTCTATATATCGCATGCCAGAATTCATGTATTTATATCCTGAAGTATATGATTACGTAATAAATGAAAACTTTGGTCAGTCAAAAATATTATACGATATATAACATACACTTGTCAATGGTGGTTTATACAAGTCTATGACTAAACTTTAAACATCAATTAAAGTACCTTTGTTTTCAGAGTAACAGAGCATGAATAAAATTTAATTTTTTTAAGTTTTTGATATTAAATGTGGTATTTCGAACAAAGTTCATTTCACAAACTTTTCTGGTGGTTTCACAATTCATTATAAAACATCATGTTTAAAATTTTAACACGTAGTAAATATACACAAATCGTATGTTGATATTCCATCAGGTAATGAATTACTGATGACTTAAGAGGTACAAGGTAATTTCTTCAAAACCCTTAGTAGTTGAATGATGGTAGTTGCTGTTTTAATGTCAATACCCACAAAATTTTGACATGAAATTGAGTATACTTTTTACAAAGCATTAATTTCAATTGGTAACAATTCAACTAATGCTTAATTTCTTATAAATCAAGAAGTCAAACACTTGTGAAGATAAATATAAACTTTACAATTTACAAACTTGATGTTGCATAACAATTTCTCACCTTGAATTTCTAAAAATTTATTGGTGTTTACACGTGAAAAGAGAAGTTTCAAGTTAATAGAATCTTTTTATTTATGTCAACAATGCTCTAACACAAGCATGTTGATAGAGTGAAAACTTACTAATATGTTTATAATACTGTAAATTTCATTTTCATTTCAGTCAAATATAATCCTACTTGATATGTAATAAGTTATTTTGTTAGTCGTTTTAAGTGCTTTCTCTGGTCAGAAGTTTCTACGTTTTATTATATGCTAAATAGAGACTTAAAAATAAACTGACTGACTTCAAGATACATGTCCTGGAGTTCTAGTGGGAAGCAGTGACCAGTGGAGTTCAACCACGTCCGTTGTGAGATATCAACTCACTGAAGACAATTGGTGAATGGTTGCTCAACTTTGTGGATCAGTTGAAGTTAGATATTAACACCGTTAGATGCCAGCTCAGTGGTCTATCGGTTAAGGGCTTCGGCTCGAAACTGGTAGGTCCTCGGTTCAAATCCCGCGAGAGTGGGTTCGTGGATGCCCACTGCTAAGTCGTCCCATAATAGGACGAAGCGGCCGTCCAGTGCTTCCACGTTTTCGATGGTGGTCTAGCTTCAATTGATTCATGATTTCAACTTTGAACAATTTTAAAAATAAACGTTAAATGATACAACTGCATTAAGAACCAATGCAAAGTTGTTACTACATTCAATGAAAAATTGTGAGAATAGATTTTTCTAATAAGGTTCACAATTCTGCACACAAAAAATAATCTCATTCCTTTTTGAGAAAAATAGTATTAATTACTTATGTTTATTTTCATATTGGTTAGTGAAATGTTGAATAAATTTGTTGGAAAAATGTTTTCTGTGCAAAAACAAAATGGTTAACAATTATGGGCGAAGTTACAAGGATACATTACATATTCGCTGATAAACAAAATGTATTTTAGTCTGCAGAGATTGATAAATTAACTGCTTATACAATTTAAATAACTTCTATATTAAACGAAGATTAATTATATTACTATTATAAAAATCTTAAGAAGTTTCTGATCTCTTAACATACTTGTATAAGTCTTGCTCAAATGAATAAAAAAAATCCACATTATATGAGTTTAATCTTCTCATTAAGTTAATACTAATATTTGCTTAGAAATTTGAGGTTCAAAAATGCTTAGAAACATAATGAATCGTTTGACGTTTATTCTGGTTCTACATCGAACGGCATATTTTTGAAGTCTCATAAGACCGGGAATTAAATTAACACAAGTTTTATTTTAATACAGAAATAATAAGAAAACTGTGTGGTACGATCAAACACTGATCTGATGAAATCTCTCTTATATTATCCTGGTCAGAGTGACACTTTGTGAAAAATCATTGTTTATTTGATTTTATATTGACAGATGTTCATAATAGTTAAATTTAGAATAATGAAGAATAAAGTAAAATTTGTATTTATACCAATAATATGAACTATGAACAAAATTGTTTGGAGAAATAATTGAAAGAAATAGTTATACTTTATTAGTTTTGAAACCAATCGAGTTTACCGATAAACTAAAATCTAAGTCATTCACATTTCTTTAAGCTTGGAAAAATCTTTTTACATTAATTTGATATTTTTAATAACGCTTTTTGTTCACTGACAATAACGTGTACTAATATTGCCAATTTATAAAGTCTTTTCGCGTAACTTGAAAATTCTTCAGAACGTATCAAGGTCTCGTTATAAGAGTCTTCAAAACAAAAGTATTAAAACCAAAATAGTCTAATTTGTAGATAAGCATCTGTATTAAAATGTAAGAAAAGGAGGTTTTCCTTTCTTCATACTAAAGTATTTTGAAAAAAATTGTCTATAGCTCAAGAAATAAGGCATAAACAAATAATTGAAGCTGATTGGTAGATTATACCCTTCAGTCAACAAATATTTGTTGATTAAAATCAGAATAATGTATGTCAAAGACTTATGTAAAATTAGAATTGCAACATTCTAAAGTAACATTACCATAACCAAGAATAAGACTACCATTTAGATATTGAATATACTGAAACAATAAACATAGTAATGTAGGTTGACATCTAGTAAAATTATATTCTGTCTCAATTCATCCTACAGTTAAATACTAACTAATGAATATACGCTTAGTTTCCTGATAAAATATATAAACAATAATCCCCCATTTTATTATCTGATTTATTAGATATTCGACCAAAACAACATTCATGTCAGTTAACTGATTATCAACTATTTTCCTGTTTCAATCGTGGTTTGCTGAACAGTCACGTTTACTTTCAACCGCACTTTATGATAAATCATACGTATTCCTAAATGATACGCTCAGAACATAAAACTGTTGCAGTAAAAATTAGTACGAAACTAGACATCACCAACTTGTCATTGTACTGAAGACCAATGCAGAAATTTATTATAAATTATTTCACTTGTGTTTGCTTTATCCATAGAATGATGTTTCAAACTATTACAGGATGTTGATTTAGTGAATCATTGAGATAAGTTAACAAATTATACCATTAACAGTAATATTCATGACATTATTGTCAATTAGTCTTTTTAATATTCATTAAAAAGAAACCTGTATAAAACAATATCGAATTAAAGTATTATGCTTATCTGAACTCTGTTGTTTGTTTGCGAATGTAATCTGCTAGAAAACGGTAATTATAATTAGTGAACTTACATTGGTGAACTATCTTAATTCATTAAACTGCTTACAATCCGAGGACGACCAGTATCGAAGAGACTTTGATTTCGAGTGATCACTCACTCGTTGACAAAATCAACTTTTATCTTGCAATTAGTCACTTTTTAAACATTTTGCACTTTTGCAAATCAGTTTTTGTTTAAAACATATTTTGCGGGGAACATAAATGTACTGACAAATAAATAATTGTCTTATTCTTACACTCTATTACCAAATTTAGACCGGTAGTTTTATAGGCATCAACATTAAAGAAAGACTGTTAATTCTGTTAGAATACTTTAACTGGATAGTTATAATATTCATGATATTATTTTTAGAATTTTTACTGAGTTTTCTTAATAACAGATGAAACAGTTTCAATATTTAGATTTTGAGATGTTTGCTTCTGAAAAGGGTAAAACTTTGATCAGTTCAATTCAGTAAATGAATTATCACATACAAATGCCGATAGTAGTTTATACGACTAAACTTTGAAAGGCAAAAAAATGAACATATTTTTACGTTTTCACTCTTTTGAGTATCACAATAGTATTTCAAATAATGTTCATGTCATTGAGTCTAGAAGTTCTAACAGTTTTTGTGATCATTGATCATAAGAATTACCGTCGAAAGTATTTTACATGGACCGGTTATAATTGGTAAGTCACATTAAAATATGTCGTTCTGTAATAATCTGTTGATGAATACAATTTAATTTCATCCTTGCTGATTAATCCTTTTGAATGAAGCATTAGTAATACAAAGGTATTTTAATATATTACTGTTACTAACAATCTTTTCAGAACATTTAAAATACCCAACAGAAATTAATAGAAAATAAACTTCTAAATTAAGATCATTGTAAATTTACACAACGACCATTTGAAAAGCGCTCTGTCGAGAAAATAATATTCAGTTGATTAAAGAATAATTGTTGAATTTCACTTTTTTTCATATTGAAACCGAAATTTTAAAAAAAATCATTCAAATAAAAAAGCATGAAGATGTCAGTGACGCATGAAATTTGGTTGGTGAACAACGGAATTTAAACTCAGCAAAATATTTTAAAATGTCAACTGATCGATGACTGTAATAGTTCGAAGTACTTTAGTTAGTTGGTTGAAAATGCCGTAAACATTTTCTCATCAGTAAGCCTGTAAAGCTAATTAGGGTGTAATAGTTATGTAATACACCTGAAAATTAAACTCTGAAAACTAACTATATACCAAATTTACGTTGCTTGAAATCTGTAACTTTGTAAACAGAGATTTTGAATATGAATTCAGTTATATAATCATGCAATAAATAAATGTTTATTTTGTCGAATATTAAGTAATGACTTTTAGTGAATTTATTTAAAAGATAATTTTACTTCGATAAACCAAACACGATGCTTACCAATGATATGAAATGGAGATGTAGTTTACTAGCTAATTGATTTGCTTCCAGAGTCAATGGTGAATATTGGTTGCATTGACTCTTAGATGGTCATTTCAGGAATAAGTTTGTGAGTTTGGTAAACGTCCACCACTGATTTATATGAAGAATATATTCAGAATGAATAAAATTTAGGAGACTGTTAATAACAGCAGATATCTTGTTATCCATCTTTTAATTATGTTAAAACTGTAAGCAAATTTGAGTATTGAATGAGAAAACCAGCTGCAAGGCAGTGACGAAGTCAGCAAAATAAACAGTTATCAAAATACTTATACAATATGAAAGATTCCTTATGAAACTCGATTCATCATCAAATGTCTAATAGTTGATCGTAAAATTGTATTACAGCGTCATGTTTTATCAAACACTGTTAATTAGTTTTTGAATTCATGACATCACAAATTTTGAAATTTTTCTGACAGTAGATTAAAAAACGTATTATTGT